CAAGCGCCTGTAGATAGATAGATAGATAGATAGATACTTTATTTATCCCCTAGGGGAAATTCATAATAATGATAATCAAAACAGTTAATAATAAATAAACAATAATAATTGGATTAGTCAACTTCCTTTGGCTGAGATGTTGTATAGCCTGATGGCAGTGGGAACAAAGGATCTCCTGAATCTCTCTGTTCTGCAGCGCAGTGACATGAGATGTTTGCTGCAGCTGCAGCTGCTTCTCTGTCCTGCCAGAATGTTGTGGAGAGGATGGTTGGTATTGTGTAAGATGGCATACATTTGTATGATGAACTAGAATAGTTCTGCCTAGGATAAAACGATGTCTAGACACAAAATAATGCAATAAAACATTTTTTGAAATAATTTTTTATTTTCATATATTTTTTTTACTGTTTTGTATTTTTTTTTTTGTGTGTGTGTAAAAGGAATGTAGAACTCCCAGAATGTAATTGATAGCTAGCTAGGGTAGGTAAATACAGGTAAAAGAAGACAAAGGTGAGTAAGCTAGAATGGAGAAAGTATAAAGAAATGTTCTGTTTGCCTTTTAAAACTGTAAAAATATAGCTCAGTGCAGTAATTTCTATGGGAAGCTAGGATGCCAGTTTCCAGTGTATAGAAATTAATTACAGAACCAGTCTGTGGTTAGCGTTTGGCAAATTCTGAAACAAATTTATTCATGTCCAGATTTTTAGTAATGGTTTTCTTGTGTGCCAAAATGACTATATCTCTTTTCCTTGAATGCAGCATTGATCTGCAAAGAGGGGTGAGAATGCGGGACAAGGTAGAAAAAGAGCTTTCACATTTAGCTGATGATACAACAATGATGAGTGCTGTGACATACAGCCTATGCAACATGGGGAAGGCCTCTTTGTATGTATCTTGTCTCCATCTCCACAATAGCTTGATCAAGAATGCTAAACATCACTCTTTTAAAAGACTGATTTGGAGTGCTAGTTTGGCCAACAGAGTCACCATGCCCAATAGTTGACAAGACAACACTATTGTCAGCCTGTGAGTTCACTGTCCTTCTCCTCTTAGGATGATTGGTATTTCTACATTGAGAGAAATGCTCCTCCCAGAACGAATCACATCTCATCTCCCTCAGTGTTCCCAGTGAAGCTGTCACCAGCTCCCCTGCAGTGCACAAATCCACTTTGTGACTGCAGAATTGAATTGGCTGGCTTCAGCGCACCAAGCACATGGAGGAGAAATTTGCCAATGTCAAAGTTCTGTCTGTTTAGCTGTGTCAAAAGACAACACACCTCTGTAGTGAGATCAAAAGGAGCACTGTCATCCTCGGCTACCTCAGACAAAAGACTCATGATACTTTCCTCATTGTCAACAATGGACTTGGTGACATCATGATGGCTGGAGTTGGTAGAGTTGGTGGAGTTGGTGGTTGTAGCAGTGCACATACGGAATGTCCTCGCCTACTTTTTGTTGCAGCAAAGTCTGCACACTGCCCCTCTACCCAGACATCACTGAAGCGCCATCATAACACTGAAACACTAAATTGTCAGCATTGTATCCCAGGTCAGGGAGATGAGAAACAATTTGGTAGCACACATTCAGAATCAAGCTGACTCAAGTCAATCATGGAGTTGCTGACAAATCTTATTATTATTGATAAGTCCTCAATGTTACAGCGATCCCTGGTGCCATCACTTTTAATGCAAAGTCCAGGAGAGTCAGATTTCTCATATTTGGCCCTGATATCTTTTAAGACCATTTTGGCAAGTGTTTCAATTATTTGTTTTGAATGACATTTGATGTGTATTTAGCCTTTTCAGGGATGCATTTTGCAATTTCTCAAAGTTTGGGATCTTTTTGAATGGTGTAAGCAAACAGCCTAATTAAAAGGCCTGCCTCATCCCCATCCCCCTGACAATGCCCACGGAGACCTAGCTCATTTACAGAGAGAAACTGAATGACTGGCTATGCTTTTAACATAGTACCTGTTCTTTTCTATCTGGGTTTGACCCAGTAACTGCACGATACTTTCACCTGTCTTTGAGCGACGCTGGTATTCCTGCCATGCAGACATCGCTGTAATGTGAGGAATACTAGAGGCATGTTTAAGGAAACCACCATCTCATTCAAGCACTCTCTTCCAATAAGTGTATCCACGTTACGTGAATTTGTCCTCTCTTTTGGAATTGGAAATACCAAATTTGCAACAGGCAAAGCAAAATCAGGCATCACGCAAGACAGAATATTCTAGCCATGGACGAGATTAGTACCAGCCTGCACAAAGGCTTTCCATATTTAAATCAGGAGTGGACACGGCAGAGCTGTAGAATGGTGTGTCTAGATTTTGTGGAGGACGGAAGTTTGCTGCCCCTGACACCGAGGCGGTAACGCTTTGCTTGTGGGCTCAACAGTGGAGGCAACATGCACTAGGGTTGAGGGAGCCTGTTTTTTAATGAGCCACCTATCCATGCTGGAAGATTTACCAGGCTAATTTAATAAAACTAATCGTGTTAGCCTTCTGTAAAATTATTTTATACACAACAAGCCAACTCCAGTGACTAGCAACAAATCAGCTATAGCTAGCCTGGAGCTGGCTAGCTAGCTGGCTAATCAGTAAACCAATAGCCAACCAAGTGAGCTGGTAACTTAAAAGAAACATGCAGCTTGCAAAACGTGCAAACTGTGAAACTATACAAGACTACTAATACAACTTATAAGAACCAGAGAAAAGATTGAACAAGAATCAAGGTATTAACAGTTTTAATTGGATTGCTGAGAGCAGCTAGCTACAAACAGGTCTTGCAATTCGCTTAACCGTGTCTGTACCGCTTGTGTGAAGTGAAGTGTCATGGTTTGGCGATAATGTATAGGAGGAGCACTGACTAAGCACACCCACACCTTCAAAATGGCTAATATGAAAGCAGTGCATTTTTTGATAACCAATGACAAAATTACAGAAAACTATGAACGCTCAAAAAAATAGCTATAACAGTGATTTTCTCAGAGTTTTCATTGGATGGGCAGATTATTCTTCTGGGTGTACACGTAGACATGCACCAGTGCATGTTGGTATTGTTTAAATTCATACCAGATGTGCTCCATAAAAAACATCAGCAAAAGTCAAGGAAGAGCTTCATGAATGCATTTATTTTACATTCGCGTCTCAGTCTTGCAAACAATCGGTTGCCCGGGAAGAAAATGGAAGAGGAGGAGGAAGCGTCCTTGGACTCCCTCCACGCATGGCCCCCCAGAGCCATAGAGGCAAACCCACAGGAACTGTCCGTCCAAATACCGGCACTAGGCCAGCCCTCCAATGGCAGGTCATGGATGCCAACTGGTAATAGTCTGGTTTTGAAAACCACAGCTTTGCTAACAGGCCAATATATGGAGAGGGCAAATCTCTGGAGGCCCATTTTGTTGAAAACTGGGTTTATGAAATCACGCATGGGGCATTTTAAACCAGGTTCCCATCATTGGGGTGCTGTTCCATCCCTTCCACTTGGTCAAATGGTCCCCAGCCCCATGACCCAGGCTATTCTTCTCATGTTCAACCCCCTAACCTTGATAACCCCGACTAACACTGAACAAGTCTTTGGACCAGTACCCCAGACCCAGACTGCTGCTCATCTTGTAACAGTCTATCTGACATTAGTGTAGGGATGCTAAATGTGTAACGTTGGTCCTGAAATTAAATTCAGAACAAGGTTCTGAAGGTTCTTAAAGGTTCTATAATGATCATCACTTCCACAAGATGTCACACCAGACCACCAGCATCTGAGACCAACAGAGAACCTCAAATTACATCACACACAGAGGGGGTGTGGCTTCATTCTTTGCTCAGGACGCCATTACTCCTGTATATCTTTAATTAGAAAGAAGTTTGCTGCTGTATTACTGTTTAAAATTTCATTTACAGAACCTTTAAGTATCTTGGACACAAGAAAGTGCTCAGTAGATGTAATGATATGTTTTTATTATATTATTCATATCTTGTGTACAGTTTTTTCCTTACAAAATTTAAATAAATTATTGTTAATATCATTTACCTGTGTCTAATCATGTTTTCTCCATACGGTGGTATTTTTGTCATTTACATAACATATCTATTATAACAACATTCAGTCATTAGTTCAGTTAGCACTCTCATCGAAATGTTAACCCTTTATCACAACAACAACTCACATTTGAATTTTTTCTTCATTTTTTTTAAAGTTATTTTTTTGGGCTTTTTATGCCTTTATTAGTGAGAGAGAGACAGGAAGGTTGGGGGTGAGAGAGAGAGGGGATGACATGCAGCAAAGGGTTGAGGGTCGGATTTGGGCGCTGGTAAAGAGTCCTGATGGAAAGCGCTCTACCAGGTGAGCCACTGAGGCGCCCTCACATATTTTAGTTTTGACGTTGTTACTCCTGTGACTCTCTCTCTGAGCACAACCTGAGCTACACAACATGAATATGAACACATACTGACACAACAAACGTTCTTATTTCACATAAATTAAAATGCTATGAAGGAGGTTAAGAGAGTAAAAAGAAGAAGCAAGTTGAGTATGTACAAAAACTGTGATGGTCATAGCTGTATATGGTTGGAAGAGAACATGTGACTACTACATTGTCAGACTGTGTCACTGAGACCAGCCCTGTACTGTCCTCTTTATCTTGGATCACTTTATAAAAACAGTTTGGCACATTAACACTTACAGTAGATTCTTTCTTTATGACAGTAGTTGAGAAGATTGATACCACTCTCATATCCATCTGATAAATCTAAGACTAAATCCAGCTTAGTTTAGTTTACCATGACAGATGGAAACAGGTGGAAACAGACCAATTATGATTTCAGGTTTAACTGTGTGTTAGATAGAACAGTAAACTCCTCTCCTCAGCTAACATGCTGCTGGATGTAGCTTTACATTTAAGTGACATACATGAGAATGGTATAGATCTTTTCAGCTGTCCCTCGGCAAGAAGATGAATAAGGAAATTTTTCAAACTATTGCTTTAAGTCTGTTTTAGTGTCAAACTGCCTCTTGGAGTTCCAGCATTGTCCTCATGTCCAACAGTGCATCCACCATGGCTTCTATGAGACATTCTGCATTTTTTTCTTTGCAGGTGTTGGGAGGTTCAAAGCGGGACACTATTAAGCTGATGCGATCGCTCAGAACACTGTAGCACACATCGTATATGTCAGGGGTTTCAGGGCCAACACATGGTAGACTGCTGGATTTTGATATTACCTGATCAGGAACAGAGGTGAGAATGCAGTGGTTAGTTATTCATGTAGTACACATCTCTAATGTGTGATGTGGAGTGAACTTCTTATAAAGTAAAAAAGTGTGTTGTGTAAATGAAATCCTTTTCATGTTTAAACAACATACAGTTAATGTCATTGTGACATTTTCCTTATAATTTCTTGTTATAACAACATATGACTTCATCTTGTCACATAATTAAACTTTAGTATCATTGTTTGGACATAAAATATGCCATGTTTGTTTGATGTCATACTGACAGAGAGATCACTTAGTCCACATAGTAACCTTGCTTCTCTGAGTAAGGACTTCCTCTCCAGTTCATCAACTGAGCATGTCTTCAAGTGGCCTAAAAGCTGGAGAGATGTGTCTGCACTCAGAGAACCAAGGCTTCAGTGAAACAGACGTCAAGATCACATATTCCATATACATGCTACAGGTTGCACATGTATGAGGAAACTCAACAGATAATTCAATCACAGACTCAGATCTATGTCAAATGTATTTTGGAAATAATATAACTCACTCATTAATGTCAAAGTAAATGAATTATAAAATTAAGTATTTAAAGAAATCTTATCATTCAGTGACAAAAAAATCAGTTGAAACACCTAAATTAAAAACAAGAAACAGCAACATAAAACAAAGGTCGGAGCTAGAGCTGAACGATTAATTGCTTTGCAAAAAATATGACAGGCAAGCGAGAGTAGAGCAGTCGGATAAAACAGGGAGCAACAACTTGGCACGCTACACTTTGACCTGTTGTACAATGGCCTCAGGCTCCGCAGGACCTGGCACTGCGGGAACTTTAGTGTCTAAGAGGAGCAGTACGTCGGTTCTGTGGAACTATTTGGCTTTAAAAAAGAAGATGCTGCTCAGCCTCAGGTATTTTGCAAAACCTGCCTTGCTACCGGTGCTACGTCACGTAGCAACACTACTAACTTGTATCAGCACAACAAAGTCATGTACCATAGTTGCATGGCTAAAATGCCGACAACCAGTGTGTCAAATAAGCCAAATACCACCTAACAATTATCACTGACCGAAATGTTTGAAAGCATAACTCAAAATGACAATTTAACATGCTTACAAGGCTGTAAGTTAAACAAATCGGTCAATATACTACTGTGATTGAAGTAGTTAAATAAAAATATGTCATTCATATCAATTCATGCATCATCTAATTTCATCATGACATAGGCCTGGCCTACAGGAAAGAACAGTTTATGTTTAAACTATCTAATCTGTGTCATAATATAGAATGATTTATTGCTTTTGTTTGTTGAATAATACAGAAGATAAGGAACTTAAAAAATAATCGCATATTAAATCGCAATATTGGTAAAGAAAAATTGCAATTCAATTATTTTCTCAAATCGTTCAGCCCTAGTCGGGTCCCCTCAACCTGGATATAAAATGACTGGTTAGCTCTCCAATCAATCAGAGAGCTTGTTATGTCCCATGACCAATCTGGATTGTTTAACGGGGTTTTACCAGCACTGAAGGCCCAGAGTGTCACAGAAAGGCTAAATTGAGAGACTAAACGACTAAGCTAATTTATTAGCTCATAGGAAAAGGAAAAGCTACTATTTATAATGAATTAATAAACATATCCACAAATGTTTTATTACTGAGAGTTTTGTGCTGTTTTTGTAAGTCGATTTTAAAATCTGAAGTATTGATGGATTAATCGTTCATCTATAAATTCTTTGTACAATGCATACAAAAGCACAGAGCCACAATTTACCAGTGCAAAGCTGTGTGTGCACCTCATAGTGTCATTCTACTGCCACACATGCTATACTGTGTTGTAGAGGTACACTGCTCTTATGCATATTAACACATTAATAATGATAAATAAGACAATATTTCCCCTTTGTGCACAATATAAAGTAATGGGATAGGCTGTCTTTAGTATGGTGGTATAGTGGTTGTATAGTGGTATCATTATTTTCTGTCACTTACCTGACTTGTAGAGATTTGATAGTTAAAGGCTTTGGTGAAGGAGCTGTCTGTGAAGAGTTCAGGCATGGAGATGTTTTCCTCCCCAGTCTGCATCCTCAGACCCAATAGGTGTCCTTCTATTGCCTGACCATTGATTGCCTGGTAGGATGGAAAACATTCTAGGTTAATTTTATATCAGTTTGTGTGTCCTTGAGCTCTATCAAATGTATGAAATGCATTTCCTTTCCCATCAATGTCTGAAACCTGCACTGTTTGAATCCATGTTTCACATACATTTGCCTCCTTGTGCACAAGAACAAGCCAAATGGGAACCTGCATGTGTATTTACTTGAACTTCTTGTCAGTCCTTTCAACTGGACAGTAACAATGAAGTGTCTAATATGTAAAGCTAAAACAAGCTTCAGAGGAGGACAGTGATCATATAAATGTTTATAATGAGGCATCTTTACCAAGACAGCAAACTGTATCTAAACTGAAGTAAAGTGTGGAATGGTGCTGTGAATGATACTCACCATGTGAGTGTACCACTTGTGAGCTTTTACAGCTTTGTCCAATAAATCCACCTTCACTGAGTTCTGTGGAACAGGGAGACAAGAATGTTAGAAGCAGTGTGATTTAAACCAGCCTAATCAATACCTCTGATCAACCTGCTATCTCAAACCAATCCAAAACAAAACTGTATGATTATTTGTGCCAAACACTGAGCTGAGGCAGCTGTGAGTAAAATATCACCATGGTTTAGGAACTAGAAATTACTCTATTCATAAAACATCTCAACTGTTGGAAGCAAGCTGGTTACACAGAGGTACATAACATGACAGGTGAATCATCATCATCATCATCACACCTTTATGTTGGGGTCATCAAAGGCCTTGACAAAGGCGGCGGATGCTTTCGAGTTTGAATGGATCCCAGCTACACGGCCCAGTTTGAACATACGCAGGGAAGCGGGTTCAAACGTTGAACAGCACTGCTGGTACATCCTGACAACACACAGGAGAAATATTTTCTGCCAATCAGGCATCCAACACACAGACTTATACTGTTGCTCTGCAACCACATTCATTTTTATGCCTCTGCTCCAGTGACATGTCCCATTCTCGTGGACACAATATCTCAGTAACGCCTTGATGGAACTTCAAAACTTCAAATTTGGCAACAAACATTCACTCTCTGTCAAGGACAAATGATTAGACTTTGGTGGTCAAAGAGCAAAGGTCAAGGTCAGTGTTACCTTTTTAGCCATCACTCAAGACTTCACAGCAATTATGACAAAATTTCACACAAACGGTTCATTTTTTATATGACTCTGAAACCTGAAACTGTAATCTGTAACCTGAAACTAGTCTGAGTGGAGGAGGGATACAACCACAAGGAGGTTATTCTAGTTCACTAAGTGTCCAGTCTGATTGTTAATTATTGATTACTCCAGTTTCTGGCTGATGAGAGAATGTACTGCCTGTGACCATAGCACTCTGTTTCCTGATTGTAAGTATAACCTGAAAACTTCAGTTTCAGCTCAAGTCATGGACGCAGCCTGACTGGATGATCAAGGTCTTCAGTTACCGTTGGTATATATAACATAAACAGTCCATCTCCACACTCACCTGTAGTAGGCCAGCTGTAAAGCCATCTGTACAAAAGCATCTGGGCTTATCTTGTGGGCCTTCAAGTAATTTTTCCCAAAGTGCTCAAACACTGTAACCCTCAGATTCAGGTCTCGGGCCATTCTGTGGAGGAGGGAAAAGTTTATTAGCATATCTCTGTGTCTATATGTATGCACATGCAAATAAAATGAACAATAGTCAGAACGTATTTAGAATTTGTTTGTAGTGTAGAAGTGATTATTATTATTGTTATTAGTTTGTTGTACTGTGTTGTCTGACAGTTGTTTGAATGCTGACGCTGCAGAGCAACAGGCTCAGTGTCAGACTGCTTATAAATCTCTCTGAGACATCACAGCATTCCCAACTCCAGCAGCACGTCATAGTGAACATACCCTCCAGCTTCTATTCAAAACAGACTACCGACTAGTACCAATAAATTATACACACTCAATTAATTTACCAAGGCTGACATTCCTATGAGCATGCTCTGTTGTGACACCAGGTTTCCCTCTGAGCCTTGATCCTGCACATCAACAGTTTTTCCAAGGTGTTGTGTGCTCTGGTCCATTTATTGATTATCTTTGAGATTTTTTTCTTTGGTAAAGCTCAACGTTGACCTCTGTCACCAACCATGACATCAGTATTCATACAAATTACATCCACATAGGATGAAAACACACCTGATCATTAACATCCAAAACCAAAAGTTCAGAGTGTAAGAGTGTGGAGGTGGGGTGGTGGACAGGCATGTAGCACATCTGACTTTAGTTTAACTCCAATCACAGATCTGACCCAACCTTCAGGAAGTGTTCACAGAGCAACACATGGAAATTACTTGTCTTCCCCTGGGTTTCTATGTTTCTATGTAACTTAAAACTATCCCCACCTGTCAATGTGCTGTTTGGCGTCCTCGATGTCCTTTTTGATCTCAGGCGTGATTTTGAAATGTAGTTTCTGGGGCAGGGGCAGGGGCAGAGGCTCCGTGTGAGACTGAGTCATCTTTGGCTTCATCCTGTTTCCACACGATAGAAAAGAAATGAGACATGAGACAAAACAAACTCTAATTTGGTGAAGAACCAAATTCACCATTAACTGTGCTTCATAAAAACGTATAAAAATGTGCACACAGCTAACATACTTGGAGCACATGAAATGACCTTGACCCTGACCCATCAGTGATCCTGTATATAATAGTTTGGGACAATGTTGATGCCTTGACGCCAGAGCAAGTGGGAAGAATAAAGGTGGAGGACTGGTTCTTCTTGTGAACAATAGATGGCGCAACCCCAGTCACCTCAAAGTGAAAGAGAAGATCTGCTGTTGGGATATTGAACTGTTGGCAGTTGGTCTTAGACCGTACTATGTACTGAGGGAGTTCTCTCACATCGTCGCCATTAAACCACGAGCAGAGCCTGCAGTGGCATGTGACGTCATTCACGAGACTGTTGCAAGACTACAGACGCAGCACCCTGATGCATTCATTGCAATATCAGGGGATATCACCTCTCACCTGACTGGCTTCTCTCAGTGTGTTGACTGTCCCACAAGGGAAAATAAGACACTGGATCTGATGTATGCAAATGTCAAGGAGGCCTTCACTGCTTCAGCTCTACCACCACTTGGCAGATCAGAACATAGTCTGTTTTTTCTTCAGCCTTTCTACAAGCCCTGTGTACTGAGGCAGGCTGCAACCACCCGCTCATTCAGGAACTGGATCCAGTGAGTCTCTAAAGACTGTTTTGGGTGAACAAATTGGAATGTCCTGTTGGAGTCACAGGGAAATGATAAAAGCAAGGACCCTGACCTTGATAGAATGGTTGAATGTACCACGGACTACATTAACTTCTGTATGGACACTGTAATACCAGCAAGGACTGTACACTGCTTTCCAAACAACAAACCCTGGATCACCAGTAACATCAAGACCCTCCTCAGCCAGAAAAAGGAGGCCTTCAGGGATGGAGACAGGGAGAAGCTCAGGTGTGTGCAACATGAGCTGAAGAGGAGATTAAAGCAGGCGAAGGAGGACGACAAAAAGAAAGTAGAGAGGAAGCTGCAGCACAACAACACCAGAGAGGTGTGGAAGGGGATGAGGACCATCACTGGCTATAAAGAGAAGAACAGCCAGGCAACATCAGGTGATGTGGACAACGACAATGAGTTCAACCTGTTCTCCAACAGGTTTGACACAGCCTCACCTGTTCTCTCTCCCACTGCTGCAGCTGCAACTCCATCCACACTGCGGTCAAGTCTCCTGACCTTTAGAGCGGAGGAGGTGAGGGCGGAGCTCAAGAGGCTACATCCTGTAAAAACAGGCCCGGATTGTGTGTGTCCGAGGCTGTTAAAGGACTGTGCAGCCCAGCTGGCTGAGCCTCTCCAGAGGATGGGTAACTGTGTCTCAGCGACAGTGATGAGCAGCACTGGGGCTCAAGAGTGGACTATTCTGGCTCTGTTTCTTGTTCACCCCGACTTTAAATACAACTCTGAGTCCTGCCACATCCAGAAATACTCGGATGACACAGCTATTGTGGCACATATCAGGAATGGGCAGGAAGAGGAGTACAGGGATCTGACGATGGCCTTCAATGAATGGAGCGACAAGAACTGCCTCCTTCTGAACACTCCCAACTTTAAATACAACTCTGAGTCCTGCCACATCCAGAAATACTCGGATGACACAGCTATTGTGGCACATATCAGGAATGGGCAGGAAGAGAAGTACAGGGATCTGACGATGGCCTTCAATGAATGGAGCGACAAGAACTGCCTCCTTCTGAACACCTCCAAGACCAAGGAGATGGTCATGGACTTTCGGAGGTTTAGACCCACCTTTCAGCCAGTCAACATTCAATGGAAGGACATTGAGGTGGTGCACACTTATAAATACCTAGGTGTGCACCTGGACAATAAACTGGACTGGTCCCTGAACACGGATGCCATCTATCTTTCCTCAGGAGGTTCAGGTCCTTTGACGTCTGCAGTGAAATGCTGCACATGTTTTATCAGTCAGTGGTGGACAGTGTACTTTTTATGCTGCAATGTGCTGGGACAGCAGCATGTCAGACACAAACACAAAGAAACTGGACAAGCTGGTCAAAAAGGCTGGGTCTGTGCTTGGCAGGAGTCTGGACTCACTCAGGACTGTTGTGGAGAGACACATGCAATGTAAGATGGAGGCCATCTTGGACAATACCAACCATCCTCTCCACAACATTCTGGCAGGACAGAGAAGCAGCTGCAGCTGCAGCAAACATCTCATCTGATTAATTTGTAGACAGTGGTGCCTCATCCAAAACTTCGTCGTTACTTTGCTTTGACTCGTTATTGTTAATTTCTTAATTCACTGTTTATTATTATTATATAATTAATCTATCTATCTATCTATCTATCTATCTATCTATCTATCTATCTATCTATCTATCTATCTATCTATCTATCTATCTATCTATCTATCTATCTATCTATCATGTCCTTGTCATGTCAGATAGTGAAGGTGGGAACAGGTGATTAATTTGTAGACAGTGGTGCCTCATCCAAAACTTCCTCGTTACTTTGCTTTGACTGGCATAAGTGCAACTTTTAAAGACGTCAGTGGATAAAATTTAGACTGCATCTAACACGCAGGCCTGCATTGAAACCACAGCTCTGCACTGGCAGAGATGCACAGTATACCCACATCTACAAAAGTTAATTTACTTACATGCATGCTACAGTATGGTCACCTAACCCCATACAGGCTGTACCATCAGCAGCAGAGTGTGAGCCGTTCGCACCACACGTCCCGTCTTCTCCAATAATGAGCTGACAAAGAGAAAAGACACACAAACCAAGCATAAGCTTTACAGCCCAACTGCCCACCAGTCTGTTACTGTACATGTAGCTACATATCAGCTGGTTCCAGCCTAGTGTCATGGTTTCAGTCTGATATAAACTGGTTTCAGTCCAGTGTCATGGTTTCAGTCTGATATCAGCTGGTTTCAGTCTAGTGTCACCTTGTTTCAGACTGTCAGACTGTCGTTGTTTCTCATCACAGCTGCAGTGCGTTTCCCTGATAAGTGATATTGGTCCTCAGCATGAGGAAAAACAGTGTCATCATTTGAATGTGTTAAATCACCTGCAACCCCTTATCAAACCATCGGTTTCCACTGTTACACTGGCTGCCTCCTCCATGCAGTATCTGCAGAATAGCACTGTGACGCATCTTATCAGGTTCTTGGCGGTTTGCTCTGTCCAAACACACAGTAAAGATGCTCCTCTCGATGGCTGACAGTGATTCTTTGTTGGTCTCATCTGGACACATGAAGGACACAGAGCAAACATCATGTTATTATGTCATCAGACTAAAACAGTCCTCAATAGTAGTTTCTACTTTTACTCAATCTATCAGGGGAAAACCTTGCATGTTATTCACGTTATTTAGAATCGTCTTCAAAACAACTTAATGAATTTGAATTTTTGTGTGTTTCGACAATAATTTTACAAATGTACACAACTAACTTTACATCTGACATAGATTGTCTATACTTCCTACATTATTTATTTGTGTTAACAAAACCAACTAATTCACATGGCTTTTAGATCATGTTGGGGATCATACCCAGATACACAATGTGAAACATGAAAAACACGATTCTCTCTTTCCTGGTGCCTGTCTTTTTGTTCCAGCCTGCTGTGGCATGTCTGTGTTGACAGCAGATGGAGCACTGTGTTGTTAGGACCATACCAAGGTTTAAGGTATGAAGCTTTTTAATGTACTGATGAGCTAATTACGTATCTAATGGCAAACTGACAATAGCAGGTGACTTTTTCCCGTTGAATGTTTTGATGACTTGTTTAACAAGCTGAGCAGCAGGACAAGATGTGATCAGTGACATTATCAGGAAAGATAAGGTGGGTTGTCATTCACACTTTGTGGCTGGTGTGTAGCTGCTGACTATCTTCCTGCGAATGAACAATCATGTGACTGCTCCATGCAAAGATTTGATTGGCTGTTTGGAAACAGGTCCTTTATATCATACCTAAGGATATTGTGTTGAATTAATGTCCCATGATTTTCTCAAAGGAGATCATGTGATTTACAGAACTGATGTGTTCAGTGAGACTTTAAAGGAATATTACACAAAAAGGATCATACCAATCTTATATCAAGTAAGCCACACAAAGACATGCAGACCAGTTTACCCTTTCTGTCACATGACTTCTCTTACTGTTGAAGAAGTTTATTCCACATATTATCATGAGGTATCAGGTGGGTCTTTAGGAGTGCTCACCCTGGATGAGGCTGCTGTAGGTTCTGCTCCAGACGTCTCGGTTCTGGGTGGTGAGAATGCCGACAGGCTCTGTGGTGGTCTGTGGTGAGGCCTTACAGATCCTCTCCAGCTGAACATAGAGCTGATCCACTGTTAGCAGAGTCCCATCACTATTGTACACGTCCAGCACAAAAAACTGAATCCAAGGGGAGGACACACAAGACAGAAAGACTGGATTACAGACTCAGCAAAAGATGACACCCTGAGGCCCCTAAGACCCCAGGGTGTCAGAAGAAGTACTATATACAATACACAGAGTCCTATTAGGAATACAGGGCTTAAAGTAAAAAAAAATCTTGAGCCTGAAATGTTGTTTTAGTTATTTATCTGTAATTATGCAATCGTGCGTCTGGAGACAATAAATGTTCAATACGACATCGATTTCTGGAACAACTCTCAAGTGAACAAAGCTCTTGTTCCCTACATATTCCTTAATTATGAGCTCTTTCTGTTTCATGGCATTTTCTAATTATCTTATCCACAGCAGCTAACACTGTTCAAATGATTTGTTTGCTCGGCTCAAGTTCATTTAGGCCAGTATCCAATGGGAAGCCTCGCATGAGCAACATCATGCACAACAATTCTGAGGAGTCAAAATGACTTTTGCAATATCATTAACTTTAATTCTGCCTAGTTAAAACTGAATAACAGATATATAATCTATAGATGTGTCACGAGTTGAATGTCATTTTCAATGACGTCATTGCAGCTATCTGTAATTCAATTTTGACTAGACAAAACTGATTTACAGATATCTCTAACTGTCATTTTGACTGGTCAAAATGTAATTACGACTAGTCAAAATTGTGTTATCTGTAGTGTTGATTCCGGATAGTCAAATTTAGCCATTAAATGTTAAAATGGCTTGCCATAGGGAGGTGATGGTTCACCATTGGTGAAGTGGACTCTGAAGATAGTTCCAAGATATAAGTCTTAGAGGTTTAATAGTCCCAGATGAGCTCGGTGATGTGGTGTTCCTCACCTGGCAGTTGTGTACCACACTGATGTGTTTGGGGGCGTTGGAGGTCTTGGCGTGGAACACCAGAGTGTCCGTCTTTGGACCGGGGATACGGCAGGATGACAACACCCTTTCGTACTGCTTCATACATAGCGGCTTCCCTCCCATGTACTCCACAGGTAATGTGTCACTGCAAAACACACAATCATCAGCCAATCAATATAATTTACAACGGATGTCCCTGAAGCTGCCTCATTCACTGGATGTTGAGGACCACTTTGAGTAATGTGGGGCTGCCTGCATCTTGACTCAACTTTGTCTATGTAATAAAATAATGAAGAAGGTCTATAGCCGTTAGAAGGTCGTCACATTCAGCAGTATGTCCTCACACATGATAGCGTTTATAAGAACAATGTGCCTTTAAAAAACAGTCCCCAGTCAACAGTCACATGTTTTCTTTCTCATGTTGCATAGTTTTGTGTTTAGATTTAGGTGTAAAGTTCAAATACTTGAATTGATGGGACTAAACCTGACCCTTCTTATAAGGACAGAAAGCAAATCTGAAATTCTCCAAACTTCCTCAAACATCAATTCAAATTATTCAGAGAATGGATCTGTATCTCTGGCTTTCAGTCAAACAAAATAAACAGTTACCATTTTTGATCTGGCTATCATCGGATAATCTGCAATTCATTTGTAATTCAAAAATGAAAAATAAAAACATGAAATTGTTATTTGTTTTAAAACCAAAATTAAAAACCGTTTTTGCTGTCAGAATCAAAATACGTAAAACCAATCAAACTGGTCAGTTTTTGGTTTTTGTCAATTCCTTTTATCATTATTTTGTTTGAAAATAAAAACCAAATTCATATGGTTTTATTTGATTTTTAATTTTAACCAAAAAGTGAAATCATGTGGTCTATTTGTTTTCATTTCCAAACAAAAAGCCAGACAACCAAAATAAATAAGCGCTCCAATTTTGATTTTTGCTAATTCATTTTTTTTTATTGTTGTGAGAAGATAGATAGATGAATGAATGAATGAATTTATGAATGTATGAATAAACAAATGCATACATAGGTTACATAATTACATAGCTTTTATTATTTTGTTCTTTTAATTTAGATCTGAAATTTCTTTTATCCAAAAAGTGTGTGATAGGCTGTATTACGACATAGTACTGTTGTCTAAAGTGACCAGCAGGGGTCCCCTGAGCAGCAGTCAGACTCAGCTGTCAGGAACTTTTCCTAAAAGATTTTTTCATTATGTAGCCTTTGTATTCATTCATTCATTCATTCATCTATATATCTTATAACCCTGGTGCAGATCATGTGCTTGCTTAATGTTACACTTTTATGTCCTCTTGGCTTTTATTTTGACTTTATTTACACTTCATTTCCTCTTCCTGTCTGTCCACCTATCTACTGTCTCTGCCAAATGGGAAATAAAAAAATTAATTTGCAAAAAACAAAATTGGACAGTTTTTTTGAATTAGATGGTTTGTTTGTAAACAAAAAACAAATAGACCACATGATTTGGTTTTTTGTTTAGAATTAAAAATCAAATCCTATAAACATCATTGAGGACAGAAATGAATCAAAGTGGAGAAAGGAGAGCATTTTAAGATCAGTACTCACTTGTCAACCATTGTCTTTACATTCAGACAACCTGATATTATTTCAGCAGCAAACCTACACAGAGAAAACAAGGTTAGTATGGTGTTAAACAGGAATTATGTCCTGACTGTCATGGGCCAGTCACCCACAATCTGAAGACTCAAGCCTGATCCATGATGAACTTGAAGACATCATAGGGTTATTTCTCAGCCTTTAGGCAGTGACCTCCAGGGCTACAGGGGGCTCTGATCTCGTGTACCAGTCCCTGTTCAGAGAGGTGTCAGAGATGCTATGTGCTCCATTTGTCTCTGGAACCAATCAGACAGGGTCTAACAGAGTTAATCTTTTTTGTAGAGTCAGTTAGTTTGTCAGCATGATGATGATAATGTCACAGTTTTAACTACAGGTCAAAAAGATATTGAAACACTCAAACAGGTGTCCTCTGTACAGATGAACCGGTCCAGGTGTGAAGGTTTACAACTGCAGTGGAGAAATAGGGCCACTGGACTGTAGTGGATCAGGGAGGTGACAAAGTGCCAAGGTGTTCACCTGGAAACACTGACCAAGAGAAAACAGACTGGGGTCTGATTGTCTTTATAGACTTAGGTCCAGCCCCCCGTTGTCATACAGGGGGTGGATTCTGGTTATTGACAGTCTGGCACCGGTTCACTGAGTTGGACACTTCAACCACAGTCAAATTCACCATCGAGCAACCTCCTTCCTGTTCTCCAGCAAACACAACACAAAAGCTGACTGCCAGTGTTCTCCAGGAGAATTATTCCTAAGTGGAAAAATACACTCATTGAGGTAGTCGAGATGAGGATGTAAGATTCCCTCATTAGTCTTAACTTCTCTAGGGACTCTACATGGACAGCCTGTGTCTTTGTCTTTGTCATTATCTGGTTCTGGTGTATGTGTGTATGTGTGTGTGTGCGTGTGTGTGTGTACCTTATTTGTTCCTGTTTATTCCTGAAGTTCATGTGGGGAAGGACCATCCCGTGGTTTGAATAAACCACCACAGGCTTCCGTCTGTCCAGATATTCAAACTTCACATAGTCATCTGTTAACTACAAACAGGTACAAGCACTCAGTGACACAGAGACTCAGACAGAAACATAGACAGATGAAGGACAGGAGTGACAGAAACACTGAAGAAGCTGCTTCATTGGGGTTTTCCTCCATCCAACAGCAGTAACATCCTTTCAGGAGACACTCCTATGGGTCGTAGCACAGGGTTGAAAAAAATGACCTGTGTGGTTGTTCAGGTTGGAGAAGGTGTTACCTATTCTCCTGAGTGTAATGTAGTCAAGGAACTGATTATAATTTTGTTGGTCAAAGGTCAAAGGTCGCTGTGATTTCATGAGACCTGTTTTTGGCATGACTCAAGAATTCATTCAGTAATTATGATACAATTGAACACAAATGTCTCACACAATAAAATGATGCGGTGATGATGTTTTATACCCAAAAGGCCAAAGGTCAACTTCACTTTGACATCATAATGTTCTGGCCTTTATTCAATAAGGGAGGCCATTGGTCACTGATGTGGTTACTGTGGAGATGTGTGTGAACGTCCATGTTTTAGAATTTGTTGTAGGCTCCATATGTGAAGCATCGTCCTCTGTCATATAAGAATCGCTTACAGTTTGACTCTGTTGTTTCTCTCAGTGAACTCCCTCTGCTGCAGTATGTGGCGACCCCTGCTGTTGTTTGTGTGGCAGGGTCTAATTCACCTTGCTACCAGCAGCATGGTCATCAGTGCCTTCTGGTGACACCAAGTCTAGGGCTGCAGTCGAAAAGTCAAAACTATCTCCTCTCTAACCTTTTCTCCTCATACTCGATGGAAACCATCATGTCAAGGAAAGATGTGAAGGAGAATTCATCAGGACTTAGGAAGAGAATCTTACTGCACTAACACTATGATTTTTCTAGTTTAGCATTTTTCTTTTAACTATTTATAACATTTAAATAAATCCAATCCTCCTCTTCTAACCACAAAAACAAAGCATACAGGATTGAAATGTTGAAATAAGATGACATAAAAGAAAGAAAACAAATAGAGAAAGTTGAGCCATTATAATAATAATTAAATAGATATAAGGAACTGAGCAAGAGATTAGAATAAATTATATTCAGACATAAGTACATAGTTTCTTGACATAAGTGCTATATAAATTTGTTGAGTAGAGAAAATTCATTTTTAAAGCTTTACACAATGGGATTTAGTGAAATGACATTTATGTAGTATTTAGTTATGGTGACGATATTGTTAACTATAGATTCAATCTGCTTGTTCTTCATGACTCCTGACTGGATTTAAAGAGAATTAATCTATATTTAAGGATTTGGGCTTCAGTCGATCAGACAAGGAGTTCCATCAGTTCTGGATCGAGTCACAAACATGAAACAGCTGCTCTGCTGTTTCTACATTTATGTGGCTCTGCTGTGGTTAAACTACAATGGTGTGTCACTTTAAATGTTGCTGTTGCACGGAATTGTGGGATGGCATTTCTCCTTTCCTCTCATAAAGGAAGGTCAAGTCTTACCTTTGCCAAAGGAGATAAGATAGGAAGCATTGAAGCTCCTTCCTCCCTCTCTCTCTCTCTCTCTCTCTCTCTCTCTATCAGCAGACAGTCTGGTGATGTGACAGCCTTATAGTGTCTTTTTGTTTTTCCTAGTTTATTTTATGCATCCTACAACACTCACACATACTCACACATCACACTGACCTTACTGACCTTCATGCTCAATGACTTTGTGACTCTTTGTTAAGAATATATTTAATTGATCTCTGTTTTAAAAACTACTTATGCTGATTTTTAAAATGATGCGTCTCCCTCCTTGTCATGAGGCTGTGACGAGTAGACACACAGCAGAACAAGAACAACAAAGCTCAACAAAGTCAAGTCAGATATCCTTATATCACAAATCAAAAATACTTTATATCTTTTATTAGATTCCTTCACAGTCTTCACTACATGTCTTAAATTAGTCTGGACAGACATGAGGCTTGTTTTCTTTAGGATTGGTCCTGAAGATGGAGATATCTAACTGTCAAAGCAGATGTTCGGAAGTCAAAATCATTACATTATTATTTAGTCAAGAAAAGCATAAATTGTTTTCTAAACCTGGAGATGATAAACTGTGTGTATGAGCTCTCTGTCAGTGCCTTTTGTAAATCAGGAGCTAAATAGATACAGAAATGTCAGAGGTCACTCTCAGGAGAACATCTACACCAGTGTTTCAGTAAATGTGTCCACAACTGTTGGTGTAGTTGTTGAGCTCACCCAGTTCTCAGTGTTGCTTGCTTTCCTCTCCAGGCCTCTCTGCAGTCTCTCTCCGACCCCTCCTGCTTTCAGAAACTCCTCCACCAAAATCTCTGTTTGCTTCAGCTCCTCCGCCTCCACGATGGGCTCCAGGAAGCTGAGGTAGAGCTCACAGGTCTGCTTCAGAGGTGGGACAGGCAGACTGGGCACTATGTTCTGCTGAGTCAGGTTTCTGCCAGCAACCAGAGTCGCTGCTACTGGCTTCACCAAGGTACAAGGTTTCATCATGCCCAGCTTTGCCTGAGAGATACAAGAATGTACTTAAATACATGAATGCTTAGAAGTAGTTATTGTGAAATGATGACGTGATCCATGGCATGAGTAAGACCTAAGACCTCTTATTTCTGAGCATAAGTCAAATATATAATATAAAAACTTAATGTTAATAAAGTCTAAGATATATACATGTTATATTAATACATGGTAAGAAATGCTAATGCAGGAATAAACAAATATGATGTTATCTACCTTGTGTAATGTCACTAAGCTTAAACAGAATTAAATGAAGGTTTGTCGCTTACCAGACGTCTGCTGCAAATCCTCAACATAATGTTCAGAGAAACTCTATAAACAGAGGCCAGAAACTGTTTGTCTGATGAATGTAATAGATGAGTTCCGTGTGTAAAAGAAAAGCTTGTTGGTCACCACGGCTCTGCTCCAGCGTTCAGAGGCTACCTAACATTAGTGAGTAAATGATCCAGGTTCAGGCCTTTTGTAGTGGACTGTGTGGATGTCACAAACTGTCAAACTGAGTGGTCTCATTAGGTAAATTTGTCTTTGCACACTTTATTTGTTTGTATTGTTTGTCGAACCAACACTTTGTTTGTCTGTTTGTCTTTTACAAACAGAAAAAAGCATACATAATAAATGAATCACACAGGTGTCTTCACAAATATTGTAAAAACTACCACCTAGTATTAGGATGTGTCAAATATATTATAATATATACATGTTCATCACTTTTCATCAACACTTGTACTTGATGTCAGAGGAATGCTGGGAATTTTCATGTCATGTTCCAGGTTTGAAATAAGGGAAGTTGATATCTGCCATATGTTATGCTCTGAGTCAATAAAGGAATATTTAAAGCTTTCTGTAAGATCATCTTCACTTTTAAATCAACCCATTCTGTGTCAAGTATATGGATTTGAGACCTGACACTTGGACTTGGACTCAGGCCTGCCTCAAGTCTGTGACTTAGAGACAGCTCTGTAGGATGAGGCCTACCACTGATATCCACTATGAGAGCGTGTTCAGAGTCTGTCTCATTCAGAGACCTTCAGTTAGCATCATGTGAACTATGTCTATATTTACTGTACCTGTTCTCCTGGATAAAGACATGCAGGGCTTGCCCCAAGGACCCCCACCCCCCACCACACACACACACACACACACACACACACACACACACACACACACACACACACACACACACACACAAACACACAGCACACACAAGCACACACAACCATCCACAACCACGGACCACACACACAACACACACGCACGACACACAAACGCACAACCACGCCAACCATCACGCACACCGCCACAGACCAATAGCAACAACACAACACCACAGAACACACACACACACACACGCACACACACACACACACACACACACACACACAAACACACACACACACCCCACCTGTGCATAAACAAACTTATTTGTTGTCAAATTTGTGACAAAGTGACAAAGGAAAGGATGAGTTATTAGTATGTACACATGAGACAACAGGAAGGAGAGAAAGCGTGGGAGGACAGTGACTGTAAAGTCTCTCTTCTATTAATGGAATAGTAATTTAAGAAAAGGAAAAATTGATTCAGAAAAGATGAAGTCCCCCAACCCCATTTTTTATCTGCTTATTCATTTTTTATTTTGAATAATTTCATTTGTTACATTTGTAATATAGGGGAATAGGTGACTGTGATCATTGCCTTTTAGTTACTGCGCACCTGTATTGCTTTGATGTTTCCATAAATGGAAGATGGGGAGTAATATCAGGTCTGTCAGGCAAGCAGAGAGTTTAGCCACACAGTTTTTTGACCTCTCTCTCTCTCTCACTTTTTGTTAATAACTTTGAAAATGGACATTGTTCTGTTTTATTATTTTTCTGTGTTGTACACTGCTAAACTTTATGAGTGGTCCTATGGATTTTTTGAAGTGGATTAAGAAAAAGAAATTCATGTGTCCATTAGATCATTGTTGATAATAATAATAATGATAATAATAATAATAACAGTTGATAACAAATAAATTATAATTAGATTAATCCACATCCTTTGGCTGAGGTGTTGTATAGCCTGATGGCAGTGGGAACAAAGGATCTCCTGAACCTCTCTGTTCTGCAGCGCAGTGAGATAAGACATTTGCTGCACCTGTAGCCACTTCTCTGTCCTGCCAGAATGTTGTGGAGAGGATGGTTGGTATTGTCCAAGATGGCCTCCATCTTACATTGCATGCGTCTCTCCACAACAGTCCTGAGCGAGTCCAGACTCCTGCCAAGCACAGACCCAGCCTTTTGACCAGCTTGTCCAGTCTCCTTGTGTTCATGTCGGACATGCTGCTGCCCCAGTAGACTGCAGCATAAAAGAGTACACTGGCCACCACTGACTGATAAAACATGTGCAGCATTTCACTGCAGACGTCAAAGGACCTGAGCAACCTGAGGAAAAAGAGCCAGCTCTGCCCCTTCAGGTAGATGGCATCCGTGTTCAGGGACCAGTCCAGTTTACTGTCCAGGTGCACACCTAGGTATTTATAAGTGTGCACCACCTCAATGTCTTTCCCTTGAATGTTGACTGGCTGAAGGGTGGGCCTAGACCTCCGAAAGTCCATGACCATCTCCTTGGTCTTGGAGGTGTTCAGAAGGAGGCAGTTCTTGTTGCTCCATTCACTGAAGGCTATCGTCAGATCCCTGTATTCCTCTTCCTGCCCGTTCCTGATATGGGCCACAATATCTGTGTCATCCGAGTATTTCTGGATGTGGCAGGACTCAACAGTCTCGCAGATGACGTCACATGCGACTGCAGGCTCAGCTCGTGGTTGAATGTAAACAACGATGGCAACGATGTGAGAGAACTCCCTCGGTACATAGTTCAGTCTAAGACCCACTGCCAGCAGTTCAATATCCTGACAGCAGATCTTCTCCTTTACTGTGATGTGAACAGGGTTGCACCATCTATTGTTCACAAGCAGAACCAGTCCTCCAACTTTATTCTTTCCACTTGCTCTGGCGTCTCTGTCCGCTCATACTGCAGTGAAGCCGGGTAAATCCACACAATGGTCGGGAATGTTGTCGTTTAACCATGTCTCTGTGAAACACATGATACAACACTCACGATATGCTCACTGGTTCTTCACAAGTGCCTCCAGTTCATCACACTTGTTAGCCAAGGAATTGACATTTCTCATGAAGATCGATGGTAGAAAAGGCTTATATCTCCATCTCCTAGCCTTTAGCTTAGCCCCTCTGCATCCACAGTATGGCTTCTTCAGCTCAGCTGGTATGAGATGTTTAACTCCACATCTGGTAAACTTTTAAGCCAGGAGTTCTTCCTTTGTGTACATTATCTTCTCCATCGTCAGATGAAACGATGACGTAGAATAAAAAACAGCAATCGACAAAAAAATATACTAATATATACAAATACATTGCAAAAAACCACGAGCTATGCAGACTTGCTGCCACTTGTTGTCAGTGCATCATTTGAAATTTTGATTAGAGCGTCAAGCTAAGGCTTCATTTATTGGAAACCTAAAGTTATATTAAAAAAGACCCTATAATGGCAGTGCACCTTATAGTAATGGCACTTTATTTATGTTCCATGTATGTTTATTAATAAATGTTTTCTCAACACCTTTAAAAAATCATTTAGATGTGTTTGTAAACTCTATCGAAACACCAATATGGCAACATATCTGTCATTTCCTTATATTGTATGGGAGTAAACCTGGAGAAGTGTATTCAGATTCTCCACCTTCATTAACTAAGAAATGAATGTCCACGGTTAACACAATTGTACAAAAAACATTTGTAAAAAACAGCTTTGGCACATTTAAAAAATGTTGAATATTGGAAGAGATCCTGCCACCTACTGCAGTAATAATAGGAGAGGAGGAATGAACCATCTTCTCAGGTAGGCTATACATTACTGTAATATCTTTGTACAGCTCAAGTCAGAAGTTTACAGACAGAGTTCTGGTTCATCAGCTCAGAGTTGTGGTTCATCAGCACAGAGTTCAGGTTCATTGGCTCAGAGTTCAGGTTCATTGGCTCAGGGTTCAGGTTTATCAACTCAGGGTTCAGCTTCATCATCTCAGAATTCAGGACCTGAACTCTGAGTTGATGAGGCTGAACTTCAGGTTCATCAGCTCAGAGTTCAGCTTCATCACCTCAGAGTTCAGCTTCATCAGCTCAAAGTTTAAGTTTGATGAGGCTGAACTTCAGCTTCAACAACAGATGACATCTTGAGGAAGGTAAATTATATGGATATATTGAACCAAAATTTCAAGACATCAGCCAGGAAGTTAAAGCTCGGATGCACACAGGTTGACTCCAAGCATACTTCCAGAGCTGTGGTAAAATGTCTTAAGGACAATTTAGTTGTGATGTATAAATTTCAAAACAGGTGTAAAGTCAAATGTTTGTAACTGTCTTCTGTCACAGCCAGTGTTTTTCCATTCACCCTGCCTCTGTCTCTCTCCACTCTGCCACAACTCCTCATCAGCCTCACTGTCCTCACCTGTTGCCTCCAGCTGCACTCCATCTCCAATCTAGCCAGTATATATGCATCCCCGGTTCACTCACTCTTTGCCAGATTGTTCTTAGTATCATGCTAGACTTTCCAGCATTCATCTCCAGACTGACTTCCCTGTATCAACTCTGCTCGTCCCTGACCATCCTGCCTTGTCTCTGCCCCGGTAAACGCCTCAGCCTTCTGTCCCCGTCCACGATCCTCCTGCATCCTTGACTATGTCTCCAGCCTGCTCCCTAACGGTACCGTTGCCTTCCCACCAATTCGTCCCTGTGTGTGTGAGTCTCCCCAACCTGCTCCACTCACCTGCTCCGCAACACGGCATCTCCAGCCCTGGCCCAGGACCTCTTCCTCTATCCACAATAACCACCTGTGTGCAATATCTCTGCTGGTTCATTAATAAAAGTCATTACCAACTATTCACTTGTTTGGTTGTGCTGCAATTGGGTCCTACCACACCCCGCTACAGTTTTCTG